TCATTCAGTGATTAATAACCAGTTGGGAAGCTTAGAAGACACATCACAAGCACTGCAGCCTACTTGAGAGAGAATCATCCAGACCTGTAGAGAATTATTTTTAATTATATTGTATTGATTATGCTATTATAGTTGTCCTGATTTTTCTCCCTTTGCCTCCCTCCACCCAGCACACCACACTCCCTCAGGCAATCCTCCCACCATTGTTCATGCCCATGGGTCAAATGTGTAAGTTCTTTGGCTGCTCCATTTCCTATCCTGCACTTTACATCCCCACAGCTACTCTGTGACTAGTTTGTACTTCTTAATCCCCTCACCTCTCTTTCTCCCACACCCTAACCTCCCGTCTCTTTATCCTTAAACTTTGGCCTTTTAATTATGATGTGTCTTGGAGTGGGCCTCTTTGCATCCATCTTGTTTGGGACTCTGTGCTTCCTGGACTTGCATGTCTATTTCTTTCATCAAATTAGGAAAGTTTTCTTTCATTATTTTTTCAAATCAATTTCCAATTTCTTGCTCTTTTCTCTTCTCCTTCTGGCACCCCCATGAAGCAAATGTTGGATTGGTTAAGGTTGCCCTGCAGGCTGCTTACATTATCCTCATTTGGGGGGGGGGGGAGGGCTCTGTTTTGTTTTTTGTTTGCTTCCTTATATTCCAAATTATGATTTGATTTTTGGCTTTATCCACTCTACTATTCTCTCTCTGTAAATTGTTCTTTATTCCAATTAGTGTATCCTTCATTTCTGACTGCATATTTTTTATGCTGTTCAGGTCCTAAGTTCCTTGAGCATCCTTATAAACAGTGTTTTGAGCTCTGTATCTGATAGATTGCTTATTTCCATTTCATTTAGCTTTTTTTCTGGAGTTTTGATCTGTTCTTTCATTTGGGCCATGTTTCTTTATCTCCGTGTTTTGGCAGTCTCCCTGTGTTTACTTCTGTGTATTGGGTAGAGCCACTTTGACACTGTCTTTGTAGTGTGGCCTAATGTAGTAGGTGTTCTGTAGGGTCCTGTGGTATAGCCTCCCCTCTCACCCACAAGCTGGGTGCTCAAGGTGCACCCTTCATGTAGGCTGAGTACATGCTTCTCTTATAGTTGGGCCTTGGTTGCTGTTAGCAGGTCAATGGGAGGGATTTACCCAGGCCAGTCAGCTGCAAGGACTGGCTGTGACCACTGACCACCAATCTGCCCTCCGTGGAGGATCAGCTGTGCAAGGGCAGGGTGGTGGTCCTCCTACGTGGTCTGTAGCTGTCCAATGGGTGCACTGGCCCCTGGGGTTTCCTAGGTGGCACAGACCAAGATCAGCCCCCACGTGTGCTTTGTCCGAGACAACCCTGCCTGAGCTATAAAGCAATCTGAGATGGCTGCTACTTCTGCAGGGCTTTGAGATTTATAGGCAAAGCCACGCTATGAATCTAGGCTGCTAGTTTCAGGCTTGGGGCTCACTGAGGCCAGCTGCTGCTTGTTTCAGAGGATTTAGGAAGTTGTAAAGCATGAGCAAAGACCCTTCATATGGAAAAGCAGCTTGGGTGGGCCCATAATTTGGCAGTGGTGAAGTCTCTGGGGATCTTTAAGGCAAGTCAAACAGTGTTAGCCCAGTTGATGAAATGTTAGATACAGGACCAGTCTGCTGGCTCTGGGTGGGAAGGGCCCAGAAAAGGGAGAATGGCCCCTTCTTGCCTTGATGCCAGACACCTCAGCCTCCCCCTGCACACCACTGGTGCCCCTCTAGTTGCCACCCCGTGTCCAGAGCCCAAGGGAAGTGAGTCTGGGTAGGTGAGTCTGTGTGTGAAGTTTTTTTTTTTAAGATTTTATTTATTTTTAGAGAGGGAGAAAGAGGGAGAGAGAAACATCAATGTGTGGTTGCTAGGGGTCATGGCCTGCAACCCAGGCATGTACCCTGACTGGGAATCGAACCTGCGACACTTTGATTCGCAGCCTGCGCTCAATCTACTGAGCTACGCCAGCCAGGGTGTGTGAGTTCTTTAAGAGAAATTGCTTGGGGCTCCAGCTCCTCCTTCCACCAACTGAATCCCTGCTCATTTTTGCAGCTAGAAGTTATGGAGACTTACCTTTCTGCACTGGAACCAGGGGCTGGGGGGCCTGGTGTGGGCCTGGGATTCCTTGCTCCCTAGATATCCCTCCCCTACTTTCATCCACCACATGTGGGCAGACTGTGCCCTTCCTACCAGCCTGGATCGATGTGGTTTCTTCAATTCTGTAGTTGTCAGACTTCCATTCAACTCAATTTGTCAGATCTGAGAGATGGTGGTTCTATATTTTAGTTGTAATTTTGTTGTGGTTGTGCAAAGAGGCGAGCCATGTCTGTCTATGCCATTATCTTTACCGGAAGGTCTTGAGAATTTTTATGAGTTTGAGCCAAAGGTGATGACAAATACCTGAAAGTAAAATCTAAAATGCTCCAGAGAATAAGTTTGCAGTTTCTTTTAAGCATTTGAAATTCAGGTAAGAATGTAAGGAAGAATGTTACATGAGGGTGGCAGAAAGCAAGGCAGGATCTGGATGACAAGATTATGAACTTTCTCAAGGGTGCTTACACCTTCCAGGAGTAAGCAAATTACTTCTGGCATTTCAAAGGTGTGTTAACCTAAATATACAAAAACGATAGACAGGCCTGCTTAAAAACTTTTCAGTAAAGAAGTTATAGGCCTGGCTGTGACTACCCACCTTACCTTCCTAGTTAGGAATTCATGGTTTATTATAGCACCCCTTTTTTGTCAATATATCAAACAAGATTGAGAATGAGTTGTTAGCCCTGACCTGTGTGGCTCAATTGGGCATTATCCTGCAAAGCCCGAGGTCGCCAGTTTAGTCACTAGTAGGGCACATGGCTGGGTTGCAGGTTCAGTCCCAGGTCAGGGCACATGCAAGAGGCAACCAATCAATGTTTCTCTCTCACGTCGATGCTTCTCTCCCTCTCTTTCTCCCAACTTCCCTCCTCTCTAAATTTTTTTTTAAAAATGAGAAACCTTTAACCTTATTTTAATTTAATCTGAGCTTTTCACATGGAGTATCTAATTCAGAAGAAAAATAGGTGGCTTTGCTACACATCTAACTTGTGTTTGAGTTGTTGGCCTTTGTGTAAAAGCCATCATTCTGTCCCACTCCGAGTTGTAAGCCTCTGAGCAGGGAACAAAGCCTCACTCTTAATAACAGTCCAAGATGTGCAGGTTCATGAGGTTTGAGGCAGGAGCAAATTTTGATGTTTGTTGCCCTTAACGGTATAGATCAGTTTGGCAAAAATAAAGGACCAGATAGCCCATGGTCTGTCATAACTACCCAATTCTGCCACTGTATCATGAAAGTAGCTGTAGACCAGAGGAGTTCCAGCAGCTGCAGGAGCTCCTGAAGCTCTGAGCTGTGAAAGAGGAGGAAGGAGAGGCCAAGTAAAGACTGTCCCAAGTTCAGCATACTTGCTGAAACCACCCAGAGAGCAAGAGTCTGCACCTGACTCTGTGCACATGCACAATGGCTCCATAGGGGAGACTGAAGAACCAGAAACCTCATCTCACTCCCCTCCAGACTCGCTGACCACACAGAGCACAGGCCAGGAGTGGATGGGGATATAGTGGACCCCCGGGACACCAGGGGTTCCAAGCTCCTCCTGCCTGAGAAGGTGAATGGGAAGCAGCAGGAACTGCTGTTTCCTCCTGGACATAATACATCACCACAAGGAGGGAACTGGCAAACAGAAACTGAAACAGGACTAGAAGGCCTGCAGGGAGCCAAGCAAGAGGCCCACAGAGTGCCCCATAGCCTCCAAGGGCCAGCCCAGACCCTGGCCCCAGACTGATGCAAAGTTTAAAGGGCTTTGACCTCACATCCCTGGTGGACCAGAAGAGAGGGGAGAAAAGCCAGCAGCAACAGTAACAGGCAGCAGATGAATGGCATCAAGGAGGGGAAGGCCACCTGGCCCCACAGAGCTGGCCTGCCCCATTGAGCACATGCACAGCAGCAGTCTGGTGGGGAGGGGCAAAAGCAAGGAAAACAGGAAGGAGGGAGACAGAGCCAGCAGCTGTCTCTCTGCCTAAAGATATGGACCTAGACAGTGTGGATATGGATGAGACCAAGAGGAAAGGGAGTATTTCAAAAGATTCTTTTTGGATTACCAGCTAGACCTGACAAAGACTATCAACTGGTCCAATTTTAGCTTGGAAAAAAGCCACGTCTGCTGCCCAGTGAACGAGGACCACCTACAAAAGGGTGCATGGAGCTTGCCTAGGCTATGCCGGGTGGGGCACTGCACCTGGGACCCCAGCCAGGATGTGCTGCCTGGCTGTGTTGTCAGCTCATGTGCATGTAGTCTGTGGGCCTTCCATTATAGCTCCCACACCACTGCCACCTCGGCCTGGGAGACCCAGGCCATGGCCAGAAACGAGTCTGATCATTCTTGTGGCTCCATCACCTCTGCGTCTTGCCTGTCACTCAGCTCCCACATGACTAGGCAGGTAGAGAAGGTGCCTATCAATCTCCACAATCTACTGTGAAGTGTGTACATGTCGTGCTGTGTGTCTGATCTCCTGATTTTGTAGTCAGCTTGTGTAAAACCCCTGCAGAGTGAGGAAACTCAAAAACAAAACCTACCCAGTACTCACCAAAAAAAGTAGCCATAGATGATGTGAAGATGAATGGGTATGACTGTGTCCCATAAACTCCCTTTACAACACAGGCAGCTAGGATTAGGCCCATAGACTAGACAGAGTTTGTGGATCCTTGGTGAACATAAATACATCAGAGGTAGCAAGAATTTGACTGTGTTTTCAGCTTTATAAACTTTTGAAGATCTTGAAAAAATGTCTTCCTAGTTTGTAACTTGCCGTTTTTGAGTGACTGTCCTTTCTTCTATTGAGAAGATAAAACTTTAGGTGCCTCACACTTCCTGCAAGTGGCTGAACTGTTAAAAAGGACTGTTTTCTACATGCTACATAATCATATAGTATTTTGTGTTCGATACCAGTGAAACTTCTCTTCTCTTCACAGATAAACATTACATGTGAAGAGTGGTAAAAGGGAACAGTGATTTCTCAAGTGGCCTGGAGAGAAAAAGCACTGGTCGGCATCACATGGACAGAGATGCTCAGTGTTTCCCGAAGATGCTGTTGAAGTAGTCTTCCTACTGCTGTGCTTCACTCAAAGTTCTTCATAACATGGGCTGCATGAAATCAAAGCAAGTTTTCGCATTTCCTACCACAACTGAGAGTGACAAGCGGCACACAAGTGCAGAGAGCTTTATGTCAGATGAGAGATTTCAACCTAGGATGCCTTCTCAAACTATCAGTAAGGAAGTGAAGGAACCTACAGAATCTGAGGTCGTGGTCTTCGAATTTGCACATCGCCTGTCCCAGGAAATCTTGAGTGATGCCTTGCAGCAGTGGGCAGACAGTAACACCAAGTACTGTGACATCCCATTCATTGAGAGTGAGGGGCCTTGAGGCTGTAGAATTATGACGCCTTCTTGAACTGTGGACAGAGTTGGTGCTAGTTTCAACACATGAAACAAAAGCAACATGTTGTATGAATAAATATTGATTCCATCTGAATGTAAAAATCAGTCTACGGTCATATCAAGAGTATAGGAATACCTAATATGTGTTTTAAGCAGTTCTGTGGTAACAGCAATTTCTACCTGCCTGTTCTTGGATTGTAGTCACTTAAAGGGCTAAACGTAGGTCCTGTGGCACCACACTAATCAGCTATGTCACATACAGCTTCAGATGGTATAGGATCACCAAAAAAAGAAATATTTAAAAATGCCCCATGTCTCCAAATGGTTTAAAGACACTCTTTTAAAATAATGTGAACTTACACCAAAACCAAGATATGAAAAGGATTGTTCTTGAAATGTCTTGGCAGTGAATGGCACTCAAGCCATAGTGATTAGCAGTAGCTTTTGTTTGTCCAAACCATTCGTGTTAAGGATCCCTACTTCTTAACGCAAATGATCAAGCATTAGAAAGCAACCCACATAGAAGAGATCCACCTTGACCCTCAGGGCCCCAAGTACAGCTGTTATTGGATGGTTCACACTTTTTGTATAAGGCATCTCAACAAGACACAATTTATAGAAGTCATGGCATTAATGTTTATCACATTGAATTAAGCCCAGTGATATAGTAATATAACTATACAAGCAAACAAGTTTGGGTACCTTTATAAACAGCAACCCAATAAATTTTAAAACAACAGAAGCCCTAGTTGGCAAGGTAAAAAAGCATGATCAGGTCTCCATGCTGAATGTGTATTAAGATTTGCTGTCTCAAAGATGTGGAGGGTTGTTTTATTTTTTTTTATGGTAACAATGACCACAGGGCATTTACAGCCATATACTATTCTATTGTCATAAACTTGGCCTTTTTAGGAATCTTTTTTTAAGAACAAGAATTTAGTACTGTTTGAGATCACTAGTGACAAAAAATTTAGGAGAGGGGAGAAGATACTAAGATGTAACTTGTAGGAAGATTGGGAATCAGTCTCTAGAATTATCTTTACATCAAGATTTTGCTACACATTGAGTTTAACTGGAAAGGGAATTATTTAAGCCCATTTGCATCAGATCCTTTTGTTAAGATACAACAGACTCTCCTCACTGAAATCTAAAGGGAGGTGGAGAAAGAGGAAGCCTTGTGACCTCTTTAAAGAAATAAATATGCATTTGGCCTTTTAAACAGACAGAAATGCTACCTCTAATTTTAACAATTATACTTTGGAACCCACAATCAAATAGCGTGAATTCTCCAAGTTATTTGGGCAAAGAAAATTCTTTGAATTGAGTGATGTGCTTCTTCCATTGCCTTTGGACGTCTGGTCATTCGGCTTTCCCTTCACCTATTCCCAGGCCATCTTAGCAACCGAAAAGATGGAAAAACCACCACCCCTGTTTATATAAGGCTGGGAACAGAAAGTTTCCTAAAACTGTAAAACATATTTCCAGCTCATCAAGAAAAATTTAGGTTTTTGAGTGTTAATACTGAGTCAGACAAACACCTAGATGTTGCTGTTTTTCATTCATTTTATCTCTCAGGACACTTGTGCTGCAAGGTCAGTTGTAATACATATTATGGTGAGAACACAAAGCCATATACAACAAGCAGCACACTGCACTAAAATTTTCAGCACACATAGGGACATAGGCTACTGGGTTTTGGTTATATCTAATTATTTTAATCTCAGGTTCCTCCTCTGCCCTGGGTTCCTGTTTCTCCAGGGGTGTGGGATGTCTTCCAGATCTGAACCTGGCTGGAAGTGTAAATTCTGTTGCCACCCTCTCTGACACTGTGGCAGTACAGTTTTGTCACCAAGCACTACCCCCTCCTCCCTGAATCATTTGAACAGAGTATAATGTCCTGTCACATACAGAGACTATCTTGGACATGTATGTCACATTATATGTCAAACCACAGACAAGGAAGTACAGGGCTTGCATAATCAGTGTATTAGTGGATAAACCAAGTTGGGAGCAGGCAGGAAAAGTCCTGGATAAACAAATTTCTACTGCACGTGGTAGTCAATCAAGATATAGTTTGGCCTTGATGATAAGAAAGATAACATCTTTAATAGGATATTCAGCTTCTTTCCTATCTTCATATTTAAACATTGTTGGACATATTTCATTTTAAAGGTCTTGCATGAGCAATAAAAGTAAAACGACTGTTTCAGGGAGAGACATATAAAACAGAAGACTGAAAGAATTATTAGTTACTGGGAAGGGAAACATTTCTTCCAACTCATATCACAAACACAGATGAAATAAGAATAATGGCCAAAGAGTAAGGGAGAGGAAAACCAGGAAAAGCGAGCCCAAGAAATGGCACTGATGCCAAACTCCATCAGAAGACGCACTGCACAAACAAGCTCCCAGTGTTTTCAACTGAGGGAAGGGACACAGCAGCAATTTACCACATGGACATGAGCCCAACCCCTGGATCCAGTAGAGGGCCAGGTGAGAGGCCACCAGCGCGACAAAGAACCTGCAGGAAGTAGAAGCAGCAGACTCTCAGAGGAAATGTGCCCGTACCTCATTCACAAAGACGCACATAACCCCACAAGCGCGCTTCACCACCCCTTCCCCAGTTCAGTGACCTTTCAGTTACAGGCTTATGACATGAGCTCTTCACTTTCAGTTGCCTTACCAGTTCTCCGCAAACTACCTATGGTTATTATGGGAACCTAAAGCACAATTTTGAAGGGGATAAAAATGATCATAGTGCAAAAGGAGTAATTTTTGTCAAATTGCCTTATTAGTATGAAAAATAGACACACTGAATGAGCAATGCATGATACTCCTACATCCTACTCAATATCGCTGACATTTTATGAAATGAGGGAACTGTACTTTTGTATTATACAGTTTTAGAAATCAAAAGTTATTTAAAAAATAAAGTTCTGATTAAGCAAATATACTCTGCTTAATCATAATGCCCTCATCCAGTATTTGCATGACCGAACAGGACATGTCTTGCTTGGAGTACTGGGCACAAGCCCAGATGCACTCCCTAAAATCTTACTTTGCAAAACTCAAGCCTTATTAGCAAATTCTCTTCCCTCTCAGACTAAACTATGAAATGGTGTATTTTTCCAAATATTTTTGTGAAAACACTTTTTTGTAACTGTACAAATAAAAATCTAGTTGCAACTAACTAGCTATGAGTTATTTAATTTCAGTAAGCCAATGCTTTTCAACAGTGTCCTTTCAAACCTTTCACATAGAGGACTTAACATTTTCTGCATTTCTAACAAATACTAAGTGGATACAAATCACCTTTACAAGGAATTCTTGGATCATCAGGTCCAATTTAGGAGCTCTAGTAATATAAATGTAAACATGGCCATTATCATGGTGTCTTTATTCCAAATCTGTTCCTAAATTTTTTGGAAGAAAAATCCTTCTTTTTTAATATATTAAGAACAAAATTTAAAGCAATTCCTCCAGACTGCAATTTCCCCATCTATGAGAATGGTACAAGATAAAATCTTTAATGTCATTTTCAGTTCTGCCATCTTTTATTCTTACAAACCTAAAGTTCTCTTAGTTTCTGAGGGGTTCATGATGAAGGAAAAACTATACAAGTTACAAAATAAATGATAAACTCATCTTGAACATAAAATTATTCTTACCTAGACTTTAAGGTCCCAAGTCTCAAATACCTTGCAGTTTCTTGTGTACCTTTAAAAAACCTTATTTTGTCAACAATACCAACTACTGAAGGATTTACTTCATTTTAAATTCCTCTTTTCATTTTCCCTTCCTGATTTGAACTGTGTAAAGACAAGTTAACAGTTATCATATAAAAGTTTGATGTAAATTGCAGAAAACTATCACAGCGATTAGAGTTTCCTAATCCATCATTCTGCCAGATTAATGAATATCTCAAACAGCAAAAAATAATGCTTTCACTTTCACCACAAGAAGGGATTGTGGTTAACTTAAGAAAATGCTGAGGCTGAGTTAATAATACTGAAAAAACAACTTTATAAAAATCTTTCTTTGCCTGAGATTTCTAATGTTACAAAAGGAACACTTCTGCTATAGTAACTCATAATTATTTTTAAACATTTATATATCAAGAAAATTCTGAGGCATTAACACATCCAAAAACATCCCTGTGTTTTTATTTTTTATAATCCATACACAGATTTACTTAATCAACATATTAACCACTACCTAAAGCCAAAACTTTAAGCTCCCATTTGAATTAGATCCACTAACTCAAGAATCTCTAGAGACCTTCAAATTTCCCATCTTCTAAAACAGGGGTTGGCAATTTTTTTCTGAAAAGGACCAGACAGTAAATATTTCGGGCTTTGCAGGTCTTACAGTCTCTGCTGTAATTGCTCAAAGCAGCCATAAATAATATGTAAATGGATGCATACAGCTATGTTCCAATAAAGCTTTATTTAGGAATACTAGTATTGGAATCTCATGCAATTTTCACAGGTCATTAAATATTAGCCTTTGATTTCTTTCCCCAACCATTTAAAAATGCAGAAACCATTCCCAGCTTGTGGAATATATAAACAACAGGCAGCAGGCCAGATTTGGGCTATGTGCCATAGTTTGCTAACCCCTGCTCCAAAATACCTTCCAAGTCCAGTCACTTCAAAATTTCAAATCATTGCTTCCCAGAGATTTGAAGAAATTATTTAAGTCTTCATCAGTAACTTCTTTTAGAGTGGCTGGTTTCCACTTTGGACTCTGGTTTTTATCTATTAAAACTGTCAAATGAAGACATAAAAAAATGTTAGTTTCTTTCTGGTATTGCCAGATTTTAATTACTGAACTGACAAACTCCCTTGTACCAGGCATATTTTTCTATAGCACTTTTCTGAAAAGTGTGAGTTTTTATGTGTTCTATTTTTCATATAAATTAAGCCCCCACAGATTTTGAAGGGATGGCAATGTAGTGATGATGAGCGTGTGGTTATTTTCTAACCTGCTCAGCCCGATGGATGCCTCTAGATTGAATACAGCCTACTGAACGAGTCCAGTGGTTTAAAGCCTAGAACTCTTTTCTCCTTCAAACAAAATAGTAAATGAAATCCCCCTCTCATAAAACAGCTAAAACCAGAGTTGGTGTGGTTTAAAGGGAAGGCAGGAAAAGGCGGAGGGTACAGATCTGCCTTCTAACTTCCTCCACAATGAGCTGAGAGGAAAATTACTTGAAGTAGAGGAAAGTGGGGCTTTGGCATAGTTAAATGTGGACACTGCCATTTTGCTGAGTCCCCTAGTTCACAGAGCTCTGAATTAAAATACCAGACCATCTTCAAGGTTATCATGAGAAACCCTACTTCTCCTGTTTCAATGTAGTCATCATTTAGTGCAGCCATATAGTAGCCCCACAGGATTAAATTAAGTATGAGACAATCTGTATACTCTCCTTTAAAAAGGGAGAGGAATGTCAGTTTCCTGGCTGTGACAGTATACTGTAGCTATATAAACGCTACCAGGTGGGAAACTGGATAGAGGGTGTGCAGGATCTCTCTTTAACAGCCATTTTCAACCCTTAATCTCATGGCACACATAAACTGATTACTAAAACTCTACAGCACACCAAAAGTATAACTTTTTGTGTCAGTAAAAAACATAATTTTGCTTCATTAACACTGGACAGATATCAAGTTGGCTGTTGTCATTTTTTTATTTGACAATCTAAGGGAAAAGAGGTCAGGTATTGTATGTTTTATAACTTCTTGTAGCACACCAGTTGAAAATTGCTGCTCTTATAACTGCATGTGGATCTACAGTTACCTCAAAAAAACTTTTTTTTAAGGGAAGGGGGCTCTATTTATTTAGTATGGCTGTGGTATGGTATTTTAATCATGTTTAAAATGTGCTTAGTTCTTGTGAAGAATGCAAATTATTTAAACATACAAACTCTACAGTGAACCTAAAAAACTACATTTAGCATTAAAAGGCTAAATAGCTAAAGAAGCAATCTGGGCACCAAGGGAGCAGGCCGTCTCAGGAAGTAGAGGGAAGGGAGCTTCGAGCATAATTAAATGTGGACACAGGAGATTTTCCAGGTTTGGCTGCCCAGCTTCAGGATTCCAGTACCATCAGATCGAACACTGATGTTACAATCCCTGCCATCTTGAAAGTTTTACCTTCCCTGAACCGTGCAAGTAAAAATCCTGGAACGTTTTTTCTACAAGGATCCCTTTAAGCCCTTTAGCCACTGCTATCTACCTCTCTGACAGTCCAATGAAAGGCAGAAGGACAGGGAATAATAAAATCTAGGTGTTATTTTAGTTCAAACTAACAAAATCCTGCCTAGCTCAGATATCACAAGCTCTTGCCCTGTAGGCAGCTCAGGTTTTTCAGAAGGTCTCATCAGACACCCACTCAAATTCCAGTTGGTAGCTCTCTAGCTCTGACATAATCTTTTTATTTTCTTCTACAACCAAGAAGTTTGTTCAAGATGTTAAAAGTAAAACTTTTTGACAACTACTCATCTAATTTGCTAGTTTATTTTATCTAATTGGCTAACATTATTTTATAATTAACAAATTGAAGCAAACATTTGGTTATGCAAAACACCAGTTTTACCCAGAATAAGTACTGCCTTCTGAATGAAAAGGTTATGCTGAAAAATGAGGTAATATACTTTCCCTATATTAAAAAGCTTGATAAGAACATGCATTGTATATCAGAACTTTGATGCTCTTCGGTTTTAACTATTGTTCTTTAAAATCATCAACAGTATACCTAAAACTAAGTTTGAGAAGGATTGCTATAACATATACTTAATACTTGATCAACACAACTCACACAGATCCTCCTAAAATCAGAAATCTAGGCTGATCCACATGCAGTAAGAATTTGCTGGTAATTAGTGAGGAAAATGCATACTTTACTTGGTTTCTGTAAATGTATAGTTATCTCCTCTGACTCAGTTCCATGTGTCCTCTGAAAGGGTTTGAACCCACTGCTTATTTCTGATATTATATCATGCCATCGATTAAGAAAATTCCACAAATAGTGATCAGTGTATATTGAAGCTTCTATCTCAGAGAACATAACCTTTTATTCAGATAAAGTATATCCAGAGTCTTTACTATATTAAAGTGATCAATAGAAAATATATAGGAAAATTAGATATGCAAAGTACATGCATAAAACATACAACAAAAATAATAGCTATTATTTTTAGGGATATGGGCATATACATAAAAAATTATTGCAAATTTGCTAAGAACAAAAAAAATCAACCACTTCACTTGCTTTTTCTAAATATGCTGACTCTGAAGATGATAAAAAGAAATTAATAAAACATTAGCAAGTTTTACTAATGTCGTATGGTTTTTCTCCACGTCAGTGTCTAACTGCTCAGGTACAGGTGAGGAGGGGGACGGGAGGCTGGCCACCGCCGGGCTCTGCCGGGTCTGCACAAAAGGGAGAGGGAGGGTGGAGGACCTGAGGGCTTTCTGCAAGGGAATAAATGCACCTTTCAAAGGCCTCAGCAGCCAAATGAGTTTATGAGCTCATACTGCGTCTGCATGTGATTGTTAGAAGCAGGACTGCCTCTTGCAATTAGGGAGCTGTGACCAGGTTGTGTGAACTTTTTAAACAATATTGGATGCAAAGATTATCTCCCCTTATATGCCAGTTGGTAATATTTTTAAATACTTCACAACCTTTACACACATCTAATTTTTGCTAATAAAACAACTATCATCTTTGATTAACGGTGTGTATTCATAAATTCTATTTCCATAACAGCCAGGAGGGGAACAACTGTCACTTACCTGCCCTAACGCCTTCATGAAAGTCATGTCCTCTCTGAAAGAAAATCGAGATTAAATGGAGAGTTTCTAAGTATCCTCTTTCCTGGTGATCTCTGTCTGCCCCCACGTCAGCTTCCCACTCCAATGGCCACAACCTGAACCACGACAGCAGAGACTGGACCAACTCTGCCAGCCCGCGCTAGTCACCACCCCATCTCTACCTGCTCAAGTGTGTCCACTGCTGCAAATCCCTCATCTGACTCTGGGCTCCACTGGTCCTACCACTTTCTCGCCATTCATTCTGGCTTCACTTCGCTCTTCATCCAGCCCTGTCTCCCCAGTCCATTAATGTGGTCACTTTTCTTTGAAAATGTCCTCATCTCCCCCATGCCTTTTTCTTCCTTTTATTCTGTCCTGGAAAAATTCCAACATCAGCTGAACCCTACCATTTGACTGTGCCTGCACTCCAGCAGCTAAACCTCGCAGCAGTGAAATCATACAACTGTGACTTGTTTCATTTAAAATTCATAAGCATAAATCTCAAGCATGGAAAACTGCTCAATGGTCCATGTTCTCTTCCCCCCTCCCCAAGATAATGATTTAAACTACCTTCTGTCTCCTCAGCCTCTACCCCCAGCAAACTCTACTCTCACTACATTCTTAGCTAATGAGTTAACCTTCTACTTCCTTAAAAAAAAAAAGAAAGAAAAGAAAAGAAGCCCTAACACGTGTAATTCCCTTCTTCCTACCACCAAAACGCCTGTAGCCGAACTGCAGCTGCCTGCACCATGATGTCCCTTTCCTGACGCTGGAAGAAGGGACCATCCTCTTTCAAAGGCCAACCCTCCCCTGCATTCACATTCCCACTCCCTCTTACCTCCTCAAGGGCTTTGCTTGAAAAGGTTACCAACTCTTTTTCTTTTCCTGGCCTCATTAATGTAGGCAGTGTAACTTAGTGGCCGAGTGCATGTCAGGGCTCACCTCCTGGTTCCACTACATAGTAAACTATGTGACCTTGGCATAGTAAGTTCCCTAACTCCCAACTTCCTGAAACGGCAATATCAACACATCCATCATAGGATTATCTGGATCCCAGCACAGTGCCTGATGCATAGTAAATGTTCAGTAAATATTAACTATTATATTTATCAGTTCATCAACATAATATGCATTCTCTATTGGATCACTATCAGTCATTTATAAATATGTTCTATATCTTCCACCATACAAGATAAAGCAGCCTCACTTGATTCCACAGTCCCAGCTTCTATCCTCTTTCTGTTTCCCCTCCCATTTACTCCTTTCCTCTCCAAGTTACCACACTACAACCTCTGCCCCAGCACTTTGCTGAAACGGCTTGTCCAAATCACCCATAACTTCAGGAGATGAGATGCCTGTATCCTCATCTACTAGATTCTTCGGCAGGACTCTCTCCTCCTTGAGACACTGCTGTCTTGCTTTCGTGACACCTCACCCCTGGTTCTCGCACCTCTGCCCCTCCTCATCACCACTCTTTCCCCTCCAGCCCACTTCAAAATGCTGGAGCTCCCTGGGGCTCAGATCAGTCCTCTCTTGTTTTCCTTCTATATGACCTTATCCACTCTATACTCAACACATCAACAGCTGAATGGTCAATTCTGTTAAAACATAAGATCATGTCATTCCTCTACTCAGAACATCCAGTGGCTTCCCCCTCTACTCAGAACAAAAGCCAAAGTCTCATAAAGACCATCAAGGCCATACATGCTCTAGGCAGCCCCACCCTATTATCTCTGACCTCACCGCCCTTTCACTCATCAACAGCCCCCAGCCCACCCATCCACAGCACCTCCTCGGGGCCTCTAAAACAGGCCGGCCCACCCCTGCATCTGAGCTCTTACTTGCAGTGCCCTCAGCCTGGAAGCTCTTCCTCAAGACACTTGCACAGCTCGCTCCCTCACTTCTTTCAGGTTTTTACGCAACATCTTAGCGAGGTCCTCTCTGGTCAACAGTTTCAACAGTTTTCAACATCTACAGTTTCAAACCCCTTCTCTACCCCAATAACCCATATCCCCTTTCCACCCTACATTTTTCTCCTTAGTATTTATAACCAGTGTATCTTACAAGCTTCTCCGTTTATAATCTATCTCCCCCCTGACAAAGTAAGTTCCGTGAGGGTTGGGATTTTGTCTGTTTTGTTTACCTATGTATTCTTGGTGCCTCAAACCGTGCCTAGCATATGGTAAGTACTCTAATTTGTTAAGTAAATAAATAAATCTCTACAAGTTTTTTAAATTTTGTGCTCATGTCTTCCAGATTTAAACCCCTAAGCTACTCTCAGACCTCTAAGCTCCAACTCCTAAATGCATTCTCTCCCTCATATCCATCATCAAGGCCTATCAATCCCATCTCCTACATTTGCCTCATATCCATTTATTTCTCTGTTGCCACTAGCCAAGTCTGCACCACTGCTATTTTGCACCTGGATTATTGCAATAAACTATCTGGCCTCTACATCCACTCTTGAGCCCCTGCAACGCCATCTCCATTTAGCAGCATAATTACCTTAAAACAAATGGAAACAAATCACCACCTGCTGAAACCCAAGAGGCTTCCCAACATACTCATTTCTCACCCTTCAGGTCACAGATGAGCCAACACCTCAGAGATGTCTTCCCTGACCTACCCATCTAAAGCCAGTTAACCTTTGTCTCCTCACTCCCTCCTGTCTCCGCATCATTCCCTTGTATCATCAACCCACTGTATTTCTTTAAGAGCACTTACCACAATTTGTAATTATATTACTTACCTTGTTTACTTGTTCTTTATAGTCTCAGGAGACTATAAATTCCTTAAGAACAAGGGCAGTGTCATTCTTTCAACAATGTGACACTTAGCACCGTCCCTAGCATACAGCTAACACACTTGCTGAGAGAATGAAGGAAGGAGGGAGTCGATCGATCAAGACAGTGCACTTAGTGTACAGTGGAAAACATGCACTGTGGGAGGTATACCAGACAGTGGTCAAGAATGCAGACCCTGGAGTAAAACCACCTGGTTTCGTACTCCATGTCTCTCCACCACCTTTGGCAGGGTACTCCTCTATGCCACCATTTCCTCGTCTGTAAAATGGAGACAATAGAGTACCTATCCTTCTAGAGACAGTGTAAGATTTAGTAGAGAGAATGCATGTACAAGTACCTAGTACAGTACTTACTCATAATAACAATAGACCTCAACTGCCAGGAGTGACTTTACAACATGACTAATAGAGATTAGGGTTAGAGGAACTACTTTGAATATCTTAATACCTGTTTCAGCACATTGGAAGTCCATTAGGGATGTCTTTTTTTCTAGTTATTAAAGAAAATATTTCCTGTAGACCATATAATAATCTAAAGGCCTTCTATACATAACACAAAAAGGATGATTCTGCTTTTAAAGAATTTATCATCTGCAAGAAGAAATCACTATGACTCTAAATGTTTCAGAAATCAATAATATTCCATGTGATTACTACCTATTTTAAGTGTTCTTACAATGGGGCTTTCAATGCTAATCAATTAAAACATGTATCAAACTAATAACGTCCATTTGTCATTATGTGTACACACAAGCATTCCTCATTTTACCAATACTGGAATTCAGATTTAGAAAGTTTATGCCTTTTGCCCAAGGTCAGAGACCATGCCTGAAAAATGGTTAATTCCTATTTTGAATTCCTTACAAGGTTAGAGGCCTTACACTTTCACACTAATGTAACTGCTGTTTCATAAAGGCTTGGTAACAACCTGAGAGCAACACCTCCACACACCTTAAGCCAACTGGCCTGTTGTGTTTCATAGAGTACATTTATAGGTAATTTCAGTTTTCTTATTTTTAGTTTTCTGTATTTTACATGTTCTACAATGACCATATATTATGTTCATAACTGTAAAATGATAATACGTTTTTTAAAAAGTCTTACCATACAAGCTTGACTCAGCCGATATTCCATAGTTAATACTTCTTGCAAGGTCTTTGAAGACCCCTCTATGAGTTGCCTTAATGTGATCTTTAGAGATGTTGGAGACATTTTATTAATTACCTATTAAGAAAAAATTTTTACTAGTTTTAGACCAATAGTTCCTTTATTGTCTACAATAAACCAGCTGAGTTTATTGGTTTTTGATATAAACCATATTTAACTTTGCTCCTTAATAGCAGTTTCACATGACAAACTTCTATAAAAGTGAGATTATGCCTTACACTAATCCTGCCAAAGCACCAAACAAAAGATTTCTAGTCCATTATGATAAGAAAACAGATCATTACCACCAGTGGAATAAATTTTATACCTATAACCTAGGTAAAAAGATAAATCTACATTTTGTAGCTTACCTGATATAAATTATGATCCCAACTGGGTAAGCAGAGATTATGCTTAAACAAATGTAATAATGCACATCTTAGAAACCACTGATGCATCAGAGGACATTTCACTTTACAATATAAAGAAGGCCAAGGAGTAGAAATACAGTAGCTCTTCCTTCCCATTTTGTGTCTAAACTTCTTTAGAAGTGTCTAAATTTCATCTTCAACTACAAATAAATCCTCTTACCTTAAAAGTAAAGAGAGAAAACTATTCATGGTATCATGAGGTACTCTTCTCTAGTATTTAAACATTTAATAAAATGAGGATTATAGGCTTAACTCCTTAGCTACAATGCCACGTCACCGCCATTTGAATTTATAGATGCTGGTACCAGCGCTCCAATGCACATGCTCAGCTGGGGCTACAACAGCTGCTACCGGAGGCCCATTCCATGCTGTGTAAATCTGATGTTTGCCCTTTCCTTTGTCGTTGGAATAGACAGTTTGCAGGCGTATTGCTGAGTGACTGTCTCAGAAATATAAATTTCACTTTTGAATTCAAAGAATTCCCCAAATCAAGATTCCACATTCTTTGGAGCATCCTCAAGTCTGGCACACAGATTCAGAGAACAGACTGAGAGGATAGGAGAGCATCTTAGTTGTCACAGCTTAACTAGATGATTACTGCACAGAGAAATTTCAGGGAATAAAACTATCCTTCCTACCTACAACCACATACAGCTGAAAAGAAGAGAGAAATGACTAAGGCTTTTTGTATCAGGTTCATCTTCTCAGGAACTCATTCTTCTGCCCTTGGTGTACGTGGAAACCTCATATAATGCCCCAAATAGCAATCCTACTCCATGGTCTTCTTGCCTTTTCGGTTGCAGGCCAAGAGGATGACGGCACAGTATGTCTGGATATTGTGCTAGGAGGCCCCTCCTTTCCACAGGCAACTAGGACAATAGGTCCATTTTGCTAACAAAACCACTAGTTTTCTCTAGCCAGAATAATGTCCATTATTCTCACAGATGAAATCCTGTAGGTACCTCACTTACAGTGCTAAAAGGGGTACTTCAAGAAGTGACAGAGCCACCTTCTATCCTGCCAAACCACCTGCAAAATCCATGCTGCTGCAAATTCCCTTCCAACAGTGCTGTGCTGTGTGAGCCCACAGTCGTGTGCCTGAGTGTCACAGGTGCAATTACTGCTGGTGTCTCGTTTCTGGGTTTGGCACTTTACTGTCTTACAATATCAAAACATAAAACTCCATCTCTTGCTATCCTTCTTCAGTTGGCTGCCAATTAATTTCCTTTTAAAAAGCCAGTTAAGGGCCCCAGTTGTTTGCTTTGCATCACACACACATACTCGGTAAAAATGGGAAGAAAATTTCAACCAAAAAGGTCCACTGGCTCAGACATTTTGTGAAATAAGTTGATGCTTGAACAACAGTGGGGTTAGGGCGCCCACCCCACCATGCAGTCGAAAATCTGCATACAAGTTTTAACTCCCCCAAAACTTAGCTACAGTTGGCTCTTCATATCAGCAGGTTTTGCATCCACAGGTTCAACTAACCGTGGACTGAAGTCAGTGTTTCTGATCTGCACTTGGGACTGTGCTGATGCAGAGGGCCAGCACTGCTAAGAGCCTACTGTGGACCAGAAGCCTTCCTGATAAACAGGCAGTGAACACGTATTTTTATATGTATTATATACCATATTCTTACAATAAAGTGAGCTAAAGAGTGTTTTTAAGAAAATCATAAGGAAAATACATTTACTGTATTTATTGAAAAATACTCATATATAAATGGACCCATGCAGTTCCAACCTGTCTTGTTCAAGGGTCAATTATATTAAAGATATTTTCATCAGACAGACATACAGGGTGGGGCAAAAGTAGGTTTACAGTTGTTTGTATGGAAAATAATACAATAAAAAATTATAAAAGAATAAACTGTTTCATATACAACTGTGAACCTGCATTTGCCCTACCCTGTATAAGGAGAAACAGGTGTATTGACAACCCAAAGAAACTTCACTTTCCAACAACTCTATGTGCATTGGCAATTGAGCACAGAGACGCAGGTTTAGACGCAGAGTCAGATAGCACTGGAGTGGAGTCCCAGCAGCACTACTTCCTACGAGATCTTCGTTTCCTCACTTGTAAAATAGGGATGGTTATATGGCCCACTTCATAAACAGTATGGCAATACAGGATAGTGCACTGTGTCAGACACCACACAAAACAAGGATGGGATGGAACATTTATCGAGCACATTTCCTTATCTCTAAGGCAAATACTTAGAGATAAGGCAAATGAGGAAACCAGACTTGGACATGAATTGTCCAAGGTCACACAGAGTAGGAATCCAAACCTGAGCCCACCTACTCCAAAACCTACCTCTTTCTGCTACAGAGGCTATGAAAGTAGTCAAGAATGTTGAAGGTCGAAGAAAAGGAAAACACAACAAAGATAAAAACAGTAAATTGTGTCAGGTGGAAAAGAGAAAAAGTGAATAAAAACTTAATTTTGATGGCAAGGGGAAGACAAAAGATGGTAGCCCGAGAAAAAAAGAGTCAAGGAAAGGCTTTTCATTAGGGTTGAAAGGTTTGAAAGGTTTGAAAATAATGCTAATGTGCCACTAACTCAAGGACGTAGAATTGAAGACACTCCAAGTCAGAGATACTGACGCAGTCAGTTCCCAGAGGAGGCAGGAAAACACGGAATGAGATGAGAGCACAGCGGGGACGTGTCCCTACAAGGAAGTGAGATGTGACACAGGTTAGAGGAATCAAAGGGGATGATGGAAGAGTGAAAGTTGCTCATCTAATATTGCTTGTTCATTAACACGGGAGCACCGAGACTGTTCTTGAAGTGTTGATAAATGATTAGGACTTGAGTCTTCAGCTATGCTAGAAATGTATGTGGATGTAATCCTGCACCCAAACACTCTAGTGACACAGTGCTACTTCTTGGTAGAATACTGGTCAGTGTTCTAACCAATTTATCTGACACTTTAAATTTTAGTTGTCCCCTGTAGGTCAAAGAACCTTCTTTTTCCTTTATCTTTTATCAAATGATTCACATTCTCATCTCAATTCAACAATATCACACATCTATTACACATTAGATACGTCAGGGAAGACAATAATAAACAGGACATGGTCCTTGTACTCAAAGAGCATTTTCAACAAAAGGCAAACTCAGGATACTGCCTCTGCCTCTCACCTCAGGAATCTACCACAACACCCAATAATATACAGTCTGACTTGCATTATAAAGACAAAAACAATATCCAACAAGACTATTGATACAAGTAGAAGAATAATATTCAACAAGCCTATTGACACTATTAGAAGACTTCTACCAAGTAGAGCCACATGGTTGACAAAGGGCTATAGAGACAATAAGTCCCGGCTCTTTCTCCGATTCACTGTAGTCTTAGTGATTTTTTTTTTCTTTATAAAGAAAGATGTCACTTATAGCCCTCTGAAAGTCTAGGCTCTGCCATATTTAATCACCCCCAAAAGGAACTAGCAGTTAGGAATTCATATATATTTATATTATTTTACTTCTTTTAAATGCATTTAAAAATAGAGCTGATGCTGACTTAAAGAGGGGGTGGAGACAATGAACAGGAAATGAGCACAGGAAACTAATTAGCTAAAACAAATCAGCTTGTTCTTCACCTAATATAAAAGAATACATAAAGGTATAGGGTAAATATAAGTGGGTGTAAATTTGCTCTCCTCTGAAGAAAGGCTACAGTGTATTTTGGATCTGCTAACATGCTATGAGAGAACTTTCGAATCCTTCCATTAAAAAAACAAATTTACTATTTCTAAAAACTTTCTCTGAACTAGTAAAAATGCCATTGAGCAAAAAGTTTAAGCAAGCCACACAGTAGCCACTTAAAAAGTACACAATGTAGTTTCCACATTATAGAAGGCAGAGGGAAAGGATCAATTATTTGTTCACATCATACTCCAAAAATTGCTTAATTTGAGTAGCAGATACTTTAACACTTGCAAGGCACAAGAGAAATAAATCAATGCAAAACAGGTCAAGACAAATTATTTGTAAGAGTATAGAAATCGTTTTTGTTAGAAACAATGCTTTCTACAAGAGCAAATGGTGGTTAGAAAATAAAGATAAACAGGGATGCTATAGGTAGAAATACCTTATACCACTGGATTTATTTTCTAAAGGAAAAATCTAAAATAGTGTATCTGATCACTTTTAAGTCCATAAAAACATAGCAGTTAAATGAACGGGTATCAAAACCCCCAAATAACAAACTCCTGCTTTACATTACAGTTGGTTAATGTAAAGAGTTTATCGTTAAATCTACCATTTTGGCTGACCCCAACCTTCTGCACACCTTCTCCACAACTGGACAGTTCCCTCAGTGTCAGTTCTACCTTTCTAGTAGATGAAATTGAATAAACATTTTCTGTGTAGGTATCCCAAAGGTTTTGTGGACTATCTATCCCTATAATAAAGCTCTTTCTTCTTAGAGTACCTGGAGTGGACTGTTTTCTGCAACAAGAATTCTGACCAGTAAAGAACCTGGAACTATAAAGGGAAAAAAAAAAATACATGGGGATGGTAGGTCAGGGAAAGTAAAAGAGGAATTAGTAGCACCAGTTAAAAAGGAGTAACTATAGGTACTACAAACATTAAAAAATACCATGAATAACTTTCCAATAAATTTGACAATTTAAATGAAAG